AAAAAAAAAAAAAAATCTAAGAAATGTCACCTTAGCTGCAGACGTCAATTCCGCGCTTAACCTCAGGTCAGGAACACGATGTCTCCTTCTGTATTCGTTGTGAACGAGTAGAGCCTCTTGTTGCCACGATTGTTCGTCTAGCGGGTAACGCGCCTTAGAGTCAAGGAAGCTGATCTTTTTGGTAGGGCTCGAACCTCCTGGAGGTAGAACGTTCTCCGTGAAGCTACCCAAGAAATTCCCGGCAGGATTATAATTACAAACGACGTAAACCTCGCCGTTTCGATTCCTGGCCATTCCGACACCCAACTCTGTACTGTCTTTCCACACGACTTGGGTGAAGTGGCCCGTTTTTAAGGTGGTGGGCTCCTTTCCGTACTGATGTTGCGCTTCTTCAGCATACCTGTTGCAATTAAATTTAAATTGAAAACATGCGTATATATACATGTTTGTAAAAGTTGTCACAAAGATGAACGTGTGGTGAAATGCGAATCTGACTTGTTAATTTTGATGTATCTAATTATAGGATGATACACATTTTGTAAGTGCAAAATATTTTCGTAAATATTAATTAATTGATTGTATATTTAAAAATTAGGAACTAGTAGTTCTCATATTGATACAATGAGTATGGAAGCATCTTCATTCCACCAGCATTCATTTCTCGCAAAATCAAACATTATTTCAGATAACATAACGAAATCAATAGTGAAATATAGTGCTCACGTCTATTTTGGACAATGAATCAGCCACTTTATTAAGTTATTCTACATTCTCGCAAAATTCCTCCCCCAAGAAGGTGAAAGCAATCTCTCGCTTTCAAATAAAATAGAAGGTGAAAAATAGTTGCACCATAAACGCACGCGAATTCGACAAGCAATTACAGTGTGAATTGAATGTAAATTTTAGTTACTTACCATTCGTTTACCGGCTCGTCTCCGCCTACGATAGTCTTCGGGTTGGAACTCCACATGCAATACAGATTTTCGCCATAATCTATGTTCGCCCTGTGCTCTAATCTACCCCTAGCTGCCAGTATGTTGGCCCAGTCCTGACTTGTTTTACACAACTGCAAACGAAGGAAAGACAGGACAGATGTCAATTAATAGTTTCACACGTCCCGATGAATTTAAACAGAGCGAATTGCTAAGAGAAAAAATAAAATACAAATTTATGCAAATCTGGTGGAAGATAAAATTTTTAAAATATTTTATATCTCTCTCTCTATATATATATATATGTATGTGTGTGATTCATGATTGACACATTACGAGAAAGAAATAACCTGTTTGTTAAGACGAAGAGGTGGTACGCCGTGCCTTACGCGGTACAAATTGTGTGTCTCGAGGCAGACGTTGATAAACTCCTTAGGAGGCCCCAATCTGCGCACAGACGGTTTACGTGTGTCAGTCTTTGATATCTACAACACAGAATTCAACAATAAATTCAACAGTAAGCAGATAAAAACGATAAAACATGGAATTATAAAAAATGAAAATCGAGAGTGTTTTTAGATTTTTCTACAATTTTGTAACGTAATTGATGCTCACAATCGTTACTGATTGCGTAAAAAAAAGTTATTGGAGAATTATGGATATAATTGGTTTCATTAATTTATAAGAGTAAATCGTTACGTGAAAGATTTATAATACATTGATCTAGCTATTTCCCCTATTTAATTCCGAGCGAGGTCATTGACTTGACGGAAATTATTTATAACTGAAACTAAATTAATGTTCTTCTCGCAAAGCTTCTCATCATCTCAAAGCAAACGCTCCTACGCTTTAATTTGCTCGAATAGCTATTGCAATTAAGGAAAAGCAACGAGGCTGCAGTTTTATTTTATTCTAGTCTATCTGGCACGTATGTGTACAGGGTGATTCATGTAACTTGTACGGCTGAAATAACATTTAAATTACGGAACAATTGTTTAATACAAACGTTGCATAGTTTTAAGGGAGGCAAAGTATGACGTATCAATTTTTTGTGGATTTCGAAATTTCCAAGGTCATTTTTATTTTATTTTTTTTTTTTTCTTTTAATTGGACCATATATCTTTTTCATTATAAATCGAAAGAATAAATTAAATTCCAAGTAAATAAAATTAAAAATTACTTGGGTGAGATATTATTCAATAGAGTAGTCGCACATTATTTTGTTTAAGTATACAAAATCGATTAAAATAGTAGATACTTCACGAGCATTCACTACACAAAATAAAACACGAAACAAAATTTTTATGACAGATAAAATTATCTCTTTTTGATAGACTTTCCAACAGATTTAATATCTTTCGTCTATCTATTCATAGAAAAAGAAAGACATGCATATAACATACTTCAATTTCGACTAAAAAAAAAAATTCATACAATGAACATCTCAATTTCTTCAAACTGGAATTCAAAGATTCAGATTACATCGAAAAAGAAATAACGATAAAATAACTGTTGTACTAAGCGTGTATCTCTGGCCTGTGTCGCGATGTCAAGTAAAATATCAAACAAAAAAATACGAAATAGCCGAAATTAACAAAACTTGCGAACTAATGCAACAAACTAACTTAAATTCTAAGCTAACAAACAAGATAAACTTCACGTGAATCAGATTAATCGCATAAACACCGTGACGAGTCAAGCTTTTGTCACACACCCGTTCCACGCATACGTGCACGCGTGCAACGTCACGGTCAGAGCGAAATCACGCGATCGCGCGAGCAAACAGCCAGCAATAAAGACGGGTAACCGTCCCTAATAACCTAGTTGCAGAATATCGAATGGGTAGTGGACTGACTGGCAGAAATGATTTCCCATCGTGCTATCGTAACGCGATCATTTCCAGCACGACAGCCAGGAAGCAAGCTATCGTGAAATCGCCGCCGCGTTCTTCTCTATCGCATCGCAGGTTTCCGGTCGCGCGTTTTCTCCTCGGATCTACTTCTCGATTGGTGGCGGTAACCGATTCACCGATCCATGTAATTCCTCCGAATTCTGTCTCGATTGAAAATCGAGAAGATTTACGTGGTTAACGACATGGTTGGCCAATTAATTTTCACCGTACGATAGCCGGAAGAAGAGCCAACTTCAGGTGTACTATTTTCGACCGAGCAGGCAGTATCGACCGGCTGTCGAGTATTTTTAATTTCCGTGCAAATGTCAAGCAACGCTTCGTTGGCCATTCGATGTCTGCCGTCGAGGAGACAGCGTGGTATAAATAAAAATGCAACGAGAGATGCTGACGATTTTAATTTAAATCGATTTTCCGAAGGATGTACTAAAGTGATGCCTCGATGGACGGTGTTTTGATGTGAGATCGATTCTCGACGAATTTGATAAATATCTGCCCAATGATATTGGATAATGATGTGCAATAGAATAAACAATAAAAATCATTATTACCTTTACTGTTTTATTTCAGTATATATGACGTTCATATGCGTGTAGAAAATAAAATATTATTAATTTGTACAAATGTCCAGAAACACAAATGCAAGTGTCGATTTATCGCACAGAACAGACTGATAACGAGTATGAATATTCATAAACACTTATAATTGAAAGAAAACGATTTGTTCAATGGCAATTACAAGATAATAAATTGCACACGTTTAAACGAGTAAATTCATAAAAAAGAAAAAAATCAAAAATTCGATAGAACAGGCATTGAAATTAAAATGAAGTTCAGACGAACGAAGTGCAACTGTACCGGAGCTGCTTGCCTAACGAGCGATCGAGCACGCACCAAACGAGAAACCTCGTCTTAAATCAAGCAACAAGCAAGTAGCAAACGAGTCTCTCGAAAACCCAATTTCCTATTTATACTCCTTTCTCTTCGATCGAACGACAGGGAATAAATAGAAGATCAAACAGATGGAACAGAAAAGAGAGGAAAAAATTAAAAAAACTAAAACAACGCCGATGGACACGGGGCGAGAAAAATCGACAGAGCCGATTCCCGCGAAGACGATTAGTCACGAGTCTAGTTGCGAGAGTAACGAGTTTCCCGAGGCGTTACAGCCGTTTCGCTAGACGCGTCTCTCGAAAAGGGAACGATCCTGAGTCATCGACAGATGCCAATGTACCCTGATGTCGCTCGCTCGTCCATACGCGAACGTTGCGTGAACGCGTGACGATGATTTACTCCGCCGTTTAACCCTCGAAGCGGTAACCGGTTGCGAAACTCCTCCGTATTCGTCTGCTGCAACCGCCTCGCGTTGATTTCCGCGCGTTTGTTTTCCTTTTTGTCGTGTATATCGACAGCTTGATTTATATTGATGAGTATATCGGGGTAATAATTTAATCTTAAGCATGATTGACAGATTAGAGGTGGATGTAAAATGTACTGATCTGGATATTTATAACTTCCTAAGACGTGAAGGATATTAGATATGAAAATAAGTAAGCACTAAAAATTTTTTATTAAGAACGACGCTAATTTGGTAAGTTAGCGATTTGAAATTAGCAAACTTGCGAATTTGCGTGCGTTTTTTCTTTGATTTCATCGGAAATGGAACTGGAGAAAGATAGAGAAAAAAAAACACAACTCGTCAGTTATGTAAAAACTTTAGTATTGAGTTCACACGCATAGTTATTACTCTCCTGTGAAATTAGATAACATCACAGCTTCGTCGGGGCGAGTAATTTTACTTTAACTCGCGCTGAGTATAACAAAATTCCATTAAACAAATTTGGCTGATTTATTTTTATTCGAGCACGATTAGAATTTTTACTCAAACTTTGCCCGATATCAAGATTTAATAATAAGATTGTAAGTGAGGACGGAAACTAAATAAATAAATTGAATTCACAGTTCGATGAAATGTATCAGGAAATTAACTAAATTTTCGTTTCAATAAATAAAATTCTAGTTTGTCTGCAATTTTCTATCTTCTACGTAACGCGATCTTCTCATCAAGGATAAATTTAACCGGAGGGAAGTGTATATCTTGCAAAAATAAGTATAATATTGGCCAAGTATATTACTAATTGTAAGACCGAGTGAACGAATCATTGTCAGTTGATTGCAAGTAGCGTGGCAATCTCTAAATTCGAGGGATCGACTTTTATCAACTGCGGACACGTTCGAGTATCTTAAAATCGGATTCATTTTTTGCAGAAATTCAATTGCCCAATTCGTGGCTTAAAGATCGAGGTTTTTTTTTCGTCCACGTAAGAAGACAACTTTACCTTACTTTGTTCATTTTACAAATTATTACGCACAATGCACTTTTGCAGTTTGTGAATATGAATTATGATTAAAGATCGCTCAACGTCTGCACAACACTCGAAGACATCATACAGAGCAATAGAATATTAACAAAATAGAACAAAACTCGATAGAAAATTTCTAGGAGATACAAAACGATCTCGCGCGTTTTCTTTTTTTTTATTTTATTTTCTTTTTTTATTTTTTTATTCAGGCCTATGTGCTGTATAGTTTTACATGCTGTAAAACTTGTAAGATACAAGGACGATATATACATACACAAATGGCAAGAGACGATATACATAAGAAAAGTAACTTGATATAACAGTATAAAAAGAAAAAGATAAAAAAGAAAATAATAAAAATAA